GTTCCTAATTTGATTAAACCCACTAACCGCATCCACGAAGGTATACCAAACCGAACCTACTGCGGCGGCGAGCACATCGCTACCCCGCCGACAATAGTACGTGGAGCGCTTAATTCGGGCATTCACACGGCGGTAGTCAACCACCAAGCGTCGCTTCCTATGCCGCTTGTAGCTAGGCATTTCCTTGGTCGGAAACGGCGCAGATCCCCAAGCCGACCTGCCGCGGATCAACTGACCCCGCTTGCATTCTTCTTCAAGCTTGTCGTCGACCCATTGCGCAGACTCGCCCCTCAGACTGTGAGGCTGGGACGAGACCGGCGGCCCGGTGGGGATGCAGTCATGGGCGAACTTCCTGACCGTGGTCCTGGTGGTGTCCTCCACCCAGAACCCAGCGGCCTTCCGCCGTATGACCTCCCTGACGGCTGCGATGTCTGCATCGGTCAGCCCTGGTCTGGTTGGTCCAGGCTCGATCTTCAAACCCGACCATACGAGCCTAGGATCCTCCGCGACCTTCTCGCCCGCAAGAGCATAGACCTCAAGGTCAGCCCGGACGGAATCCCAGTCCTTGGCGTCCGCCTTGGTTCGCCAAAACGCTTCCTTCTCAGCGGCGTACTTATCCACCTCCTTATCCAGCTCCGCACGCTCTGCTGGCGTGAGGTCCTCGCCCGAGCGCACGTCCGGGAGGGGAACAACTGGAGAGGGCTGTGGTGCAGCCGCGGCGCTATCCGCACCCGCAGTGGCTGGAAAGCTTTCAACTGCAGCGGTGCACAGCTCTTCTGCGCCCCTCAGACCAAGGTCCTGGAGTGATGCGCAGAAAGCAGCGCCTATGAGGTTGTAGTCGGCTCGCGCGCGCCCAACGTGCTTGTGCTGCACTGCGCCTAACGCATCTGGCCTACTACACCTCAGACCTACCGATTCTAAGCTGAAATCGGCGAGCCACAGGGCCCCGCTCTCAACGAGGTTGTCGCGGCCACTGGCCCGCGCGAACTGGCATATGTCAGCCCGCACGAAAGCCCAAGGCCAGCGTGGCTCTGCGAGCGTCCCAAACAGGGCGCCCCACTCCTCTAGCCGCCAGGGTTCCCACTCGCCTTTTTGTGCCTGCAAATGCAGCGCGACGTGGGCGCCCGCGCGCGTGCGTTCCTGCGCACACCGGACGACTAGCTGAAGGAAAGCTCGGGGCACATTCTTGCCCTCAAGCCCAATCACAAGCACCTTCGGCTCTGCGCGCAAAACAGCGCCGCTAATCGCCTCTAGGTGCCCTTCTGCGGCCAGGTTCCAGGTTATCCCGTAGGCCTGCTTGCCTTGCACAAAAGCTGGAACAACCCTGTACCCGTGCCTCCTAGCCGCGTCGGAAACGACCGCGTCACCCCAAGCAACCTCTAAGACATCGGCAACCCCTTCAAGGAAATACTGCCGGAACCAAGTCTCGACAGCACCCGACTCTGGGGAAGCCCTAGGCTGCAACACGCGGGGTTCCGCGACCAAGAGGTCCGCGAGGGCCTCTCGGATCGAGAGCACACCCGTTCTGGCGCGAGACGCTCTCTCGAGCGTCCTGTCCTGTAACGAGTACGCTCCCTTGTCCAACTTCCTGGCCGAGGCTGCAGCAAGCACGCCGTCGCGGTTCAGGTCGACCTTGGAAACGATTTCCCTGACGGTAACCGATTCGTGGGCCGGACGAGTCCCCTCGGAAAGCGTGAGTGAGCCGTCCTCGGCGATGTATGCGAGCTGCCACCTGACGCGAACAAGCTCTGGGATGCAAGCGAGACATTTGGCGACCCAGGTCCGCACATCTTTCTCTAAGTCGGGCCACCAGACTGCCCTCTCTAGCAGCTTGACGGTAACCTCAGCAGACCTATGGGCCCCAAGGACTCCACAGTGGACTGAATTATAGCAAGCGCGGCGCCAGGTCACCCCATTCGCGCCCGCAGCCCCGTTGGGAACCACTGGGACAACGACGGTTTGACCCGTCCTAAGGGTCACCTCGCGCTCAAGCAACCCGTCTCCGGATATCTTCATTGGCAGCTCTGGCTTGCGAATCGAGCCCGCCAATGAAGGATCGCGCCGCTGACCCTCGTACCACGCCGTACGAAGGGATCCTGTGACTCGGAACTCCGAAATATTCGCCGCGTCCCTTGCATCGACCGCGAGCTGCTCACGACGATTTTCGTCCTCCTCCGCGATCAGGCTCAAAGACGGAACACCGCCCTTAAACTCGACCTTGACCTTGGTTGAGGAATGGTCCCAAATGCACAGGATGGGGCTATGGCTAACGAGCTCTAGAACCACTGCAGGGCCCTTGTGCTCTTCACCCATAAATGCCAAAACTCTACCCTTCAGCTTGCACTCATTGGCATTCTTCCCGCGACTGATAGCGCCCGCGTCCAATGCCCTTCTACGCCCTCGTTGGACGAAGAGAATTGAGCAAGGACCCTTGACGCCTGCAGGGTAGACCTGCGGGGATCCGAAGCTGCTTCTCCGGCTTCCCGCCAGCCAATGACCTGAGTAACCCTACCCACAAGGGCTATCAGCTTGCCGAAGGAGGGGTCTAAGGCAACCTCTCTACCATTAGACCTCCAGAGCACTTCACACTGCTCATTCACGACATGTCTGTGGCCGTGCCAGTTCACAACTGACGACCAATGCACGACGATGTCGCCCTGAACCACATTCAGGGGCGAGCAGTTGTGCCCCGCCACCACAGCACCATCTTCTCTAACCACCCATGTGGTCCAGTAAGGCTTCACATCGCCCCACTTGGAAAGATCCTTGTGCTGGGAGCCGAGGCTGAGCTTCATGGAATGGCTCTTCTTCCATATCTTCCCACTCAGCATGCCATATGCAGTGGGAACTGGAGCATCTTTGGGCATAGTCCTAAACCCTACCGCCCATTGCTGGATGGTTGAGGACCTAACCCTAACCAAACCTCCTGTCCTGTCCAAAGTTGCAAGGACGGAGTTGACCTCTAGGCCCACCTCATGGGCCTCAAGGTCGCCCTCAAGCGGAGGTTCGGGCTCCTCCCGCTCGGCTATCTCTACCGAGATATCGACTGCCTCTTTCTCGATGCAGGCGGGGCAGCGAGAAAACAGGTAGGTCCGCTTGCCGCAGATGCACAGACCCTCATGGTCCCAGAGGGGTCGTGACGGTTCGTCCAGCATCCCTCTAATGCTGGCATCATCAATGGAACGAACCGCGTCCAGCCTCAAGGACCGCAGAACCTCCGCCCCCAATGCCTGCTTCCCTACGATCCCAAAACCTCGCAGGGGAGGCTCCGGAAAATCCTTCTTGAGTTCCGGACAAGCCTCGGCCACTTCCAAGTGGCCTTGCTGCGTGCGCCAAAGGCGTGGCCGCACCGCCCAGATAGCCTTGATGCCTGCCCAAGCCTCTCCTACAGCCCTGGCTTCCTTGCGCTGCAGGTTTCTTGCTTGGAGCGTGAGCTCAACAACCAAAGGCCACCTAAGGACGGCTGTAACAAGCCCGCCTTGCCCTAGTCCTACAAGGAACTGCGGACGAAACCCCGAAGCTTCCCTAAGAACCTTGGCACACGAAGTAAGCAAGTCGACCCTGATCCGCTTGATCTTCTTGGTCCCTGCGAGCCTGCCGGCCCCGCAATCAAAATGCGAGGCAAGCCCGTCGGTATCCTCAAACGGACCCCAACAACCCCTGACAGCCACAGAAACTCCAGGGAGGCTCGCTTGAAAGACGCGCCTGATCTCAGTCAGCTCTGCGTCCTGCTCTTTCCAACGCGCGTAGTCAAAGACAACCATGACGCGCACCGGAAGGGCTGCGACGACGCACATCGGCACAGCCGCGGCCTGGACACGGCCCGCAGGCTCTGGGACGGCGTCGTTGCCGACCGCCCAGGGCACGGGTCCGTCACCCTCAGTACCCTCTCCGAGGTACTGGTCCAGGTCGAAACCTCGGAGTTGGCCCGAAAGGCCCTCGAGATCTTTCGTCCTCGCCGCAAGGAGCGCATCCCGATCCTTGGGATTGCGGCTAAAACTGTCACCCAGCGTCGCTGAGCGACCGCTAAGGCTCCTTATTTTGGACCCATCCATAAGGATTTCCGCAACCCACCGGACGAGTTTCGGATCCATTCCGATGTCCGACGTTTGCGCTCGGGTAAGGTTGGCATGATCTGTCCAACACAGAGTCCGAATAGAGCCAAACATGCGGCGTGTCGCCCGCTTTACCTCGAGCTGGGCAAACGCCTCCTGTATCAAGGGCGGCCAGTTTTGCTGCGCGGGGGTCAAACTCTTCGAGTGCGTCATAAGCACTTTGAGCTGACTCAAGTCACGCGTCATCTGCACGACGCTGCCCCCTACCGCGATGCCCGACGCATCCGCGATTTGCTCGAGGGGACACGACCCATCCGCAGCTGAGGCCTCATCGAAGGTAGCCAAATTGATGCGGTTCTGCATCATGCGCTTAATCGCTTTAAAGGCTTTGCAACCCTCGGTGGCGGCTGAGCCCAGCCCGCCTTCAGGAAAGACGGCGCCTGGCTTCTGCCACTGCCCTAAAATCTTGGCTGCGTGCCCATACTCAACAGGCAGGTAGCCGCGCAACCAATTTGCGCAACCCAAAAATTGCTGAATGTGAAGCTTCTCCCAGAGCGGGGGAAAGTCAATCACTGCCTGACAACGCTCTTCGTCAGGCGAACTCCCGTCCCGCCCAATGTTGTGCCCTAGGAGCTTACCTTTGGAGACACAAACTTCGGCCTTACTGATTCCAAACGAGAACCCAAACAAGATTGACTTGTCTAGGAATCTGATGAAGTGAGATTCAGCTGACAGCAAGCTCACCCATGTCCGAGGCCGTTTGAAGGGCCCAACATGCAGAAAGCCGAACGTGCCAAGCCCATGAAAGCCATGAAGGCCATGAAGGCGATGAAGGCATGAAAAGGCGAAGCTGCATAACAACTCGCAATGTATAGCAGGTATAGTTACAGTGACGTGTGCTCCTGAGAAAAGACTTGTCGCGACTCGTGTCGCATTCGTTGTGCCATGGCCCTGCAATCCTCCGATGACATTCATAACCTCCGGCCCCCAACCGGACAGGTTATGAGCCCAATGATGCCAATGGCGGAGGGCATGGCAGGTGTTCGAGATTCAGTTCCTGGACAAACTGGTTTGCCGAGTGGGGAAATGGGCAGACATGGTGGATATGGAACACTGAATCCGATCCCGAATCGGAGTGGAGCAATGGGACCATCGCCTTTGATGAATGGTGTGAATCCTGCAGGAGTGGCTGCTTCTTTGGATGGGCCAACGATAACCGGATCTGGCGAAGCGAGAACCGCACTGGGCGCGACGAACGAAACGACGAGGGTGGGTCTAGGGTCTAGGGTTGACATAGGGCCAGCAGAACTGCAGCAGCATCAGCAGACAGCAGTTCCTTCGCACCCAGCCACAGCACCTCAGGCCCTGGGACCACCACTACCAGGTCCGAGCCCCTTCCAAGGTCGTCCTCAAGAACAGCCACAGCTCGCTTTGGAGGCACCACCTGCTAGAGAAGCCGCCAGGGTCCCTCAAGAACCAGATGATCAATCCCTGCTGGCTATGGTTCCTCGTCAAGGCCTACTACAACCGTCCCAAGAGGCCCGAAATGCAATGGCGCAGCTAGCTGAGCAACAGACAGCTCTCGTTGCAGCGGTCCAGTCTAGGGCCCGAAGGATGTTGCAGGGGACAGGTGTGGAGCCGAGTGATCAAGATCCAGTTCATAGCAGTGAAGATCATGTGGTTTGGTATTCCAGGCTACGAGGACTTGTTCAGGGCGTGGTGAATCCAGTGATGGAGAGGGTCCAGGTGATGAGGAGTCGTACTGCGATGAGCTCACCCCAGGCCTGGCAGTCACCGACAACGACGCCCGAACCTCGTGAAACTGGAACTCCACTTATGGAACCTGCCATGCAGCAAGCCATGCAGGAATGGACACAGAGGACCTCTTTGTTGCAGCCAAGGCAAGATCTGTTTGGAAGTCCTGCTGAGCACTCGTCGGGCGAATCTGTCTCCCCTGAGATGGTGCAAGAAGAGGTCAGGCGACAAGTTCAGATTGCAATCCAAGGACGAGATGTCAAGGTGCACCAGCTTCAATCGGAAAATGACGAGTTGAAGAAACTGCTGCATCAGGTGATGGAAGCCGCCTCAAGACCGCAGGGGGTGGGTGAGGAGATGACGAGAGCCGACCTGAGAGGCCGCTTGGGATCTGGGGGCCTTGAACTTCCAGGTGTTCGAAGGGCAAGGGGAAGCGATCGTCCTCATCAACCAGAGGAACTACGGCCAATTGGGGTGGAAAACGAAGCTGCAGGGCTGCTTGGTCCTCCCCCTGGATTGGATGGTGGTGGATATAGAGCTAGCTTCGTGAACAATGATGGTGGCAATGTGGGTGGTGGTGCCCAGGGACAGGGCACAGGGAAACCGCCTACAGGGTTGAGCTCTGATCTGCAAGGAGGGCAAGCCGTGGCGAGTGGAGGCGAGAACCTTGGCAAGAACGACACCCTTCCTGAAGCAGGTCGGAGCAGTGGTGGCGCTGGTGGCATGGGAGGTGGAGGACCAAAGGACAAGGAGACCTCGACCCTTGAGCTTCTAGCACATGGAATTCAGCAGTTGCAGCAGATGCAGATGAAGAAGGATGGCCATGACCCTGAGCTCCTGAAGGGCAGTGTCGAATTACCGAAGATGCCGGAGCCCTACACAGATAGCAGTTCAGTGGCCTTCCTGGAGTGGATGTATGAAGCGGGGCAACTCATCGGCTCCCTGACGGAGAAAGCCTCTGGATGGTGGGAGGCGAACTCCCAGTTGGCAGTGAACACCTACAAGGCCTACCAAGGTGAGTCGCCACTCCAAAAGTTGAAGATCAGGGTGGGGGCGAACTCCTTTGTGGACGATGAGAAATGGTCAAGACTGGAACGAAGAGTCATGACCTTACTGCTCCAGTCGATGCAACCCCAAATCAAGAACGAGGTGATGATGCTCCGGATAGACAAGGTCAAGGATTGTCTGTTCAAGCTCTACACCATCTACACCCCGGGTGGAGCAAGTGAGAGGGCATCATTGATCAAACAACTGGAGTACATTGCGCCTCAAGACAGCCCAACGGAGCTCACCGCCAGCTTGAGGAAATGGAAGAAGCTGGTCTCTCGAGCCTCAGAGATGGGAGTGAACATTCCCGATGGCTCTGTGCTGATGGTGGCGGTGGAGAATGCGATCAAGAAGGTTGTAAGTGGACAACCGGATATGGCCTTCAAGTTGAACATGGCGAAGCAGGACCTCCAGCTCCCTTACCAGCCACATATCACCTCCGTCTTGACCTATGTGGACCATATCCTGGCTGAGCTCCAACAGGTGATCCCCATTGCGCGCAACGACCCGAAGCTCAAGGGCATGAATGTGGAACCAAAAACACCGTCCAATGCTGGAAGTCCAGCAAGAGGCCAGAAAGCACCTTGCAAGTTCTGGTCCAGTGACGAAGGTTGTCGGAAGGGTTCCAGTTGCAAGTTTGCTCATGAGTTCATGTCCAAGGAGGAAAAGAAGGGTCGATGCTGGCATTGTGGAGGAAAGAACCACCGGCAGAATGAATGCCCTGTGAAAACGGGAAAATCAAAGGGAGGTGGAAAGGGAAGCTCGTCCACCCAATCTACAACTCCACCGACTTCGACAACGGCTACCGTGGCAGCGATGGCGGTGACCCCTGCTTCTGGTGATCAACCTCTTCAATCAAGAGAAGCCCCAGCATCCACAGCGCCTGCAGGTTCGGGAACATTGACCTCGTCCGGTTCGTCCTCGGCTGCCTCTACCGTCTTGTTTTCGGAGCAACCGACCCAAGCTCAAACCACTGAAGTCCGTGAGCTGGCGGAACAATTCCTGGCGAAGTTGAAGCGACTGGCACGCATGCAGGTGGAAACCAATGAGGCCATCGCGACCTTGAACCACTTCCTCCGGAGTCAAGGGCTGGAATCACCGCAAGGATTGGCTCTTCTTGACAGTGGAGCCTCTCACCCATATAGAGCTCCAAGGTCTCAAGATGAAGTTCAGAAGGCCAGAAAAGTGGCGGTCCAGTTGGCGGATGGGAGGACAGTTCGGCTTCGACAAACTACCGCAGGGACCCTGTTGCCGGAACAAGCCAATGAGGGTGACAACTTCGGTGGGACCATCCTGCCTTTAGGCAGCTTGGTGCAGTCACTTGGGTGTACTTTGAGGTGGAGCCGGAGGCGAGGACTACAAGTTCACCATCCAGAACATGGTCTGCTGCCCACAAAGCTTGTGGGAAATTGCCCGGTCTTGAGAGAGGCCGAGGCTCTGAAGCTAATCAGTGACCTAGAGGAGGTTGAGCTCGGGAAGTTGAAGGCCAACAACATGGATGGCGTCATGAGGGCATTGAACACCGGAGGTCAAGAAGAAGGGCCATCATGGAGGGAAGGTTTGGATGAGTTCGTGGCAACGGGATCCAGGAAGGCTCTTCGTCGAATGCTGTTGGATCCAGACTCACCTTTGGGTTCTTGTACTGAGGACGAGATTGTGGCTATGATCGGCTTGGACGATGTGAACCTCAGTGATTCGAGCGGGGCGTCTATCTTGAAGGGTTTACCGCTGAACCGAGCAGCAAGGCGAAGATTGCTGTCTACAAGATGGGCGATACACATGTTCAGTGGTGAGAGCAAGGAAGCTGAGATGGAAACGGAGTCCATGTCGACCCTGAAGATAGACCTGCGAATATCCAAAAGGTATGACATGCTGAAGAGCCACGAGACCACCAAGGCCCTACTGTGGGCTGCAGCTCGAGGACAAGTGGAAGGCATCTATGGGGGTCCGCCTCGTAAGATGGAGAACCAGGAGCTACTCACGAAGAAGTTCTGGTTGATGTGGATCATTGCAAATCGAGGTGCCGAGCTCAGTGACCTACGGAAGCCTTTTGTGGCCATGGAATTACCTGGGCCGAGCGACTTCTGGAATGGCCCTGTCTGGCAGGGTATTAAGTCAACCTACGATGTGGCCACCCTCTACATGGAGGCAAACCATGAAAGATACGCCTTCGCCACCAACCTCAACGTCCCGAATGGTTTCCTGGTACCGAACTTTGAAGCCTTGTCCCAATCAACACCTCCGAGATCCCAATGGCCAGATGAGCTGAAGCAGCGACTGTATACCGGGATGAAGCTTTGGAGAGTCTATGGGGACGAAGGCATGAGATTGAGGATGATGGCAAGAATGACAAAGCCGGTGAACATGACGGAAAAGGAGCTGAAGCATTGGGAGGACCATGTGAAGGCAGGCCACATCCCCTATGATCGTCGTTGCCAAACATGTGTCCGGACGGCGGCGACAGGCCGGGCCCACCGGAGAACTTTAGCGCCGAGTGCATACTCACGTTCGCTGGATATCGCCGGTCCTTCAGGGCCAGAGGCGAAACAGCGGATTCGGCTCGCTACAGGTACCTCCTCGTGGGAGCATACTGCCATCCGAAGTTGGAAGTCTGTCGGGAGAGTCCAAATCCTGAGGAAGAAGCTGAGGTGCAGGATGATGGTCTGGGGGTGGACAATGATGACCCTATGGAAGAGGAGGATAAAGACGATCCAGTTGAGGAGGAGGACGACGACTACCAGAAAGAGATGAATGAGAGGTACAAGATGATCTACAAACACATTGGAGATGACATCGAGTACCAGACCTTGCACTTCGCAGTACCTATGGAGACCCGAACAGGGAAGGAGGTGTTTGCGAAGGTCCTAGACATCTACCTGGAGCTTCGTCGCGATGGACTGCCCTTAACAAGAATCCACTCGGATCGGGGAAGGGAGTTAAAGGGGCAAGCCTTGAGGTCCTGGATGTCTGAACGGGACATCCTGGCGACTACGGGTGAGTCACAACAACCGCAGCAGAATGGAAGAGCTGAAGCCCTTGTACGACAATTGAAGAGCAGATGCAGGACCCTACTCCGATCGTCAGGATTACCCAGAACATGTTGGCCTCTAGCTGCAACCTTCAGTGCTCGAAGACAAAGAGATCTAGCGCTTGGAAAGCTTGATGACAAGGACCTCACCTTCGGGGCGAAAACCTATGTCAAGGCCAAGGTCTTTGGAACTGGAGGCTCGTACGATTTAGATGAAAGATGGAAGGAAGGGGTCTTCGTGGGATATTCCAGTGATGTCCAACGGGGAAAGGTTGTCCGGTTCGGAGATGGGGGCTATGTCACGAGTGTGCATTTGAGACCGTATCTGGTGGACTCGGACGACCTGGTGGACCCGAATCCCTTGGAGCTGCACACCAGAACGCCGTGTTCGAGGGAAGGCACGAATCGCTGGAATGACCCTGCCAGAGACTTCTGCTGAGTTGTTGGCGAAGGAGTACCTCCAGGAGGAGAAGTTTGACTTAGAAGACATCCTTCGACTATGGCAAGAGCTCAAGCCACAACCCAAGGAAGGACTACGGACAAGCAGAAGGGAGAAAAGAAAGGAGGAACCAGCGATCTGGAAGACTGGCCAATTCACAACGAGTTCACCGCGCTGCAGATCACGGACAATGTGGGGATGCAAATGCATAGAGACAGCCACAACTACCAAAGCCGAATGAACGTTGTCTTGCCTGTGTGCTTGCCGGAACAGGGAGGTGGAATATGGGTTGAGGCCGACGAGGTGGACTACTGTTGGGAAGATGAATGGAGGCAAGTTCGCGAAGCTGAATGGCGAAGAGGCAAAGTCCATGAACTACGACTTGGAGAACCAATCACATTCGACCCGAGGAAGTACCATGTGACTGAAGATTGGGTGGGAAGAAGGGTGGTTGTGGCAATGTATACTCCAAGGGCGAAGAATATGGATGGCTTCACGAAGGAAACCTTGGATGACCTTGGATTTGGAATGCCGGAAGAGGACCTCAGGCAGTTTCCCGATTACAAGAAAGGTGCGATCTTGAAGATGATGAACATGGCCCAAGAGGACAGGGAGGTGGACGCGGTGGTATTCCAAATGAAGGAGCCAACAGAATCCAAGGTGAGTCTAGAAGAATCTTTGGACGAGCTTCATGAACTTCAAGAAGGAATTATGGAAAGGCTTCGAGCTCGGGCTGAGAATCTAAGGGACCTCCTCAATGAGGAGGAGATCTTAGCGGAAGAGCTACAAGCGACCAATGAAATGGTGAAGGAAGAAGCGGACCACGCCCGGGTGACGATCGAGGAGTGGCTTAAGGATGCCGAGGAGAAGATGGGCAAAGTGAGAAAGGTAACTGAGTCCTTTTTCCTCAAAGTCGCGAACCTGAACGAGAATGATGAGATCGCGAATGTGGAGGAGTACCTTCAGAATCTGCAGGAGGACTTGAAGGTGACCTTGGATGTGCCCTTGGACCAGGTGAAGCTGTGTCTCGAAAAATGGGTTGAAGCAATCCAAAAGGAGCTAACCAACCTGGAGGTGAACACCGGGGCGCTAGAGAGAATCACCATGGAGGAGGCGAAGCAGATGGAAAGAGAGGGAAGGCTCCGACTCATCCCTGGAAAAATGGTCTTCACTGTCAAACCTGTGGGGGAGGCCAATTCGGGGAGTATCTCATCTACATCACCAAAATGGAAACGGAAGGCGAGGATGGTTATCTGTGGGAACAGGGTGGACTTCGATGACGACCACACCAAGGAGTTGCTCTATGCTTCGGGGGCATCGGCCGAGAGTCTGAGGATCGCACTGTGCATTGCAGTGGCAGGTGGGTGGCTGGCAGCAGTCACCGATATCACTGGTGCATTTCTTCTTTCGGAATGGCCAGAAGGCAAGCCTCGATATGGTGTCCTACCTCCTCGAATTCTTCAACAGGGTGGATTTCTGGGGCCTACGGATGTTCTTTTGGTCAAGCGGCCGCTATACGGACTCCGTGAGTCGCCGGCACTTTGGGCTTCCTACAGAACACGTGTGTTAAAGGGTCTGGAGATACCGTACCACAAGGGCAGCCTCCGGTTGAAACAGCTGAGGACGGACTCTGAGCTGTGGATGATCATGTTCTGCGAGGGCGAGGAAATGACCCTGTACGGCATCCTGGTCACTTATGTCGATGATCTTCTGTACCTCAGCGACTCGGAAATCATTGAAGCCGTGCATGGATGGATCAAGGAGAGGTGGCCTTGTGCTCCATTGGAGTATGCCAAACAAGAAGGGGGCATAAGATACCTGGGAATGGAGTTGGTCCAGGATGAGAACGGACTATTCTCCTTGGGGCAGGCGGGCTACGTGCGAAATCTGGTCCGAATCCATGGTTTGAGCGAGGAGGCTACATCGAACCTACCATGCCCGAAGGAATGGTTGTGTGACGATGACTACGACCTTCAGGAGGAGAACTACACGGAAAGCGAATTGAGGCGTGGACAAAAAATCACAGGAGAGTGTCTGTGGCTATCGTGTAGAACCCGACCCGACCTCCTCTTCGTCACCAACTATATGTCGTCGACGGTGTCACGATCTCCATGCCGCGTGTATCGCATTGGGCTTAAAGTCATCGCCTACTTGAATGCGACGGTTGACCTGAAAATCCGGGTGGATAAGATCCCAGGCAGTTCCAACCAGATCCCGAGCAGTTCCAACCAGATCCCAAGCAGTTCCAACCAGATCCCGAGCAGTTCCGGCCAGATCCCAAGCAGTTCCAACCAGATCCCGAGCAGTTCCAACCAGATCCCAAGCAGTTCCAACCAGATTCTAAACAGCAGCGATGACAAGCAAGCACACCAGGTGGTTTCGGGTCATAAGGTTCGGTTCAACGTGCAACTCTGTGGATATTCAGATGCTTCCTTTGCACCGTTTGGTGGAAAGAGCTTTGGTGCCAGTGTTGCAGTGGTGGGAAGGACTCCAGTTGCCTGGAAGGCGAGCAAACAGTCGATGGTGAGCATGTCGGTTTGTGAGGCAGAGATGATGGAAAGTGCGACATGTGGGCTTCTTCTTGAATCGGTGGCTTCAATCCTGGTGGAAATTTGTGGACCAATTGTCTGCCCTGAACTAAGGGTAGACAATGCTGCTGCCACGAGCCTCCTTTCAGGCTCACATGGGTCATGGCGGACTCGACACCTGAGAATCAGACATGCCTACATCTTGGACAAGATCGCCCGAGGAGAACTCCGAGTGAAACATACTCCGGGGGACCGCCAATTGGCGGACCTTCCAACGAAACTACATCCCCGGGCTCGACTGATGGAATTGCTGCGATTGTGGGCAATGTTTGGACTTCCGGAATTGGACAGGGCACATCAGATGGAGGATCTGAGGCTTTGCTATCTGATGCTGGCAATGATGGCTATGATGTCGATTGGCGTTGAAGGAAGGAAGGTCGAAGACCCGAACTCCTTTCTGAAGGAGCCTCTGGCAGCGACTGGAACGATGGAGCTTCTGTTGCTGCTGGGAATGTCGTGCGTTGTGGCTGTGGCATGCTGGGAGATGATCAAGATGATTGGAAAGTGGGGCTGGAATAAGATGTTTGGGACAAAAAAAGACGAGGAAGCTAAGAAGGCTTCGAGACTTGGCGAAGATGGCAGCGGAAGCAGAGGTGAAACGAAGCCTGGAACAAGCGAGTGAGGAGTCCGAGGCTACAATCCACCAAGCAATGCGACAGACCGGAAACCGGGCAACGTCTTCGTCTGAGCCAAAGACGAGGACCGTGGGAACACAGACCCCAGCTGTGGAGCCGGAAATCCATGAGAGGGTGGTGACTGTTCATGTTCCAGAGGTTCGAGAAAGAGTGGTTCATGTAGAAGTCCCAGCCCGGGAAACCCATCGCTACGACCGTATCAACGAGATCTACATGACCGGCCACGGTGGAGGTGCTTTCCACACTTGCCAGGACTGCCAGGGCTTCTTGGCGACATCAAGGGTGCATCCCATTGCCTTGTGTACCTGGTGCAGCCGATCCCGCCCGATATTCACGCGGAGCCTAGTCTAGCTCAACAAGTGAACAGGGCATAGCATGATGATCCATGTGGAGCATGGATGCACTACGAAAGAACCACGTTCAGGAGCAGCTGTCAGATATCTTCTGGATGCTTCCAAGCCGAAGGCTAGAAGCAAGGAGGAGTGATGAAGTGAGATTCAGCTGACAGCAAGCTCACCCATGTCCGAGGCCGTTTGAAGGGCCCAACATGCAGAAAGCCGAACGTGCCAAGCCCATGAAAGCCATGAAGGCCATGAAGGCGATGAAGGCATGAAAAGGCGAAGCTGCATAACAACTCGCAATGTATAGCAGGTATAGTTACAGTGACGTGTGCTCCTGAGAAAAGACTTGTCGCGACTCGTGTCGCATTCGTTGTGCCATGGCCCTGCAATCCTCCGATGACATTCATAACCTCCGGCCCCCAACCGGACAGAATCCCTCTAAGGAAACCAGGTGGTCGAGGAGGTGCGGGCACGCCTTAGGGTGCCGGGCGCGCATGTCTGCCGCGAGCTGCTCATAATAATAGTCCGTTGGAGGCTCCTCGATCATTTTATCGATGTCCCAGCTCTCCACGATATGATAGCTCGGGCAGCGCGCCGTGTCGACCGCGTCTGCTGGGCGCACAGCATCACTTGCGCCTCTTCCAGCCGTGGCCGATCCCTCACGCCAGCCAGCCCAGCGTGGCCCCTTGCGCGTCCTAAAGACCGCGAGGCGTTCGGTGACGGGGACCTCATTGCTGCACGCAACGCTTTCCGCCACACGCAAATCCCTCGTGTCCCAAAGACGCCACGCCTCACCTGCGCGCTGAAGCAAGCACGTTTCGTAAGGCGCCTTCTCGACCGCCACGGTCCCAAGGTCCTTCTGCGCAGGGCGCCTACCCCACACAGACGCGTAACCACCTGGCGCCTCCCACCAGTTGTCGACGCTTGGAAGGTGGTCCAAGCAAGTAAGGACTCCAGGCTCCTCAACAGGGCGCCCAACCGGGCCGCTCCGGCCCCACACCGAAGCGAGAACAGTCACCGCAGCAAGGACCGATAGCACACCGATCCTGGCACCGGTACGCAGCCGCCCAAAGGACCGCGCACACGAGGAACAACCTTGGAAGCTTCTTGCCGCGGCCCTGGACGCGGACCCGCAAGCAAAGCACGGGTCATGGTCAACCGAAGCAACGGCGACCCCACAATCCGCACATGCCTGCGGAGACGGCTCTGACTCGAACACCGTCTCAACCGCGCCACAACCACAAGCCGCAGTGCTGACGAGGCCGGAACGCACTTCCGCAACAACCTCGCCTGGCTGGAGAGAGTGATCACACTCTTGGGCTGCAAGCAAAACAAACCCTTTACCCTCTCCTGTGGGCCAAAGACCTGGCACAGCCTCAACCCCACACTCAACCGGAAGCACAACCTCTGACAGGGATCCTTCTGCGGAGACTCCT